TAGCTGTTTTGCATGTGACTCTCCATCACTCCAGATGCTCTTGACGACAACCTGCCTTTTTTTTTTTTTTTTGTTAAATTCTTTCAAATGATGTTTGTGTTTGCCAAAAGTGCCCAGAGTCTACAGCATCTAGTGAGCATGTAGCAAAGAAGTATATGCTGACAGGGGGTGGGGTGGGGGAGAACAAATGTTTCCAGAGGTACAAAGCTAAAGGAAAGTTGGATGATTCAGCTTTCTTTTCTTTGTGTCTAAGAAACAGCTGGGCGCATGGCCGATTTCTTTACATCCAGTCTTTCTAGTCAATGATGGAGGAAGAGGTCACTTCATAATTAAAAATAATAAAGCCTGTTTTCCAGTAAGAACCACAAATCAGTCCCTCCCTGTCTCTAGAGTTTTGTCTCCTTGAGGGTCCATCAGCCCACTACTCAAGCCTAGTAAAGCCACAGCATATATTCTGGAGCAAGGGAGAAGGTGACCACACCCCATTTGTTTAGATCTCTGATTAATGCATACATCCTGGGGAGCCACTAGGCTCCCTCTGCTTCCTTGGCTGTGTCTGAACAAAACAGCCCAGCCAGAGGTGACCCAGATAAAGCAGTGGTGTGTTAGTTAAGGTCCTTCTGGTTTCAGGTCACAGAATCCTCTCTAGAAAAATGTACCCTCCATGAAGAGGATTTCTTACATAAAGCTTTGGGGCCACATAACATCAAAGGGTCAAGAGCATCTAAGAAGACAGAATATAGGAATGCCCCCTTTCTGAATCGCAATCTGTGCTTTTCTCCTGAGAGCCAGAGCTTCTGCTGCACCTTGTGGAAATATGGCTGTTCCTAACACATTCATATTCTGTTCCAGACATGAGGAAGACTTCCTCTCTGACGCCTCCAAATCTAAATATCAAGAATATATCCATCCTCTCATTGTCCTCATCTGGGCAGGACCTGAACTCTTGATCATATGTAAGAAACTGTGCTTAAAAGTCCATATAAATTCTAGGTAAGCATATGGAAATGCATATTAAACCATAAGCAAGGAGTTGTACAAAAGCATGTACTTAACAGGATTAGCACCTATATTCATGCATATGGCTAAAGAGGAGTGGAGGGGCTACAGTGAGATATAGTATATGGCTTTATTGTAGTAAACATATTTTAATTCATTAATAATAATTAATACTACATAATAATAATAGACATCTATACTATATTAAAACCACTGTGGATGTACATTCTTTATGTTAATAATTAGCATCTATACCATACCAGTCTGTGGGTGAACATTCTTGTCTTTGCAGACAAGAGACTGAGATGAAAGGAACTCTTGTTTCTTCTAGTGAGTCATAGAATGAGATGTAGATTCCGTACTGTTTCAACTGTGCTGTGTCTCATGTTGTAAAGGTGACCAAAAAGGGAGGATATTAAAATTCTGCACATAGCCAGTGTTCAGAACTCAAGAAATTTATCGAGAGACCCTTGAGTTGTGTATACCAAAAGGAAATAAAGCTCAGATCCTTCCCTAGGTCTGAAGCCAGAAGGAAGTGAGAAGGCTTCATCCTCTTTCCTTGACGTTCAAGGGATGGTTTGGTGCAGGCACCTGTACAATGCTGTCCTCCAGGCATAACAGCTGCTACCATGTCCATCAGAGCCTCCAGTAGTATTGGCCAAATACCACAAAGCATACCTGTTGACTGTTGAAGTTCCTTCATAGATAAGAGTGTCTGGGAGTGTCATTAGACTCTTCCCAGAGATTGCATCCACTCCCTTTGTGCTTTCCTGACAACTGTGTGCTATTCTCCCCGAGCTGCACATGGTCTCATGTTCTCAGGAGGTGCTAGATGCAGAGCATAGTAGGCTACGAGACTGGGAAAGTCCATTTGTGCAGCTGTGAGGAAGTTGTCATCCATACTTGGGTGAGACTTTCTGGTGATGTGGCTGATTTGGAGTCCGCCTATGACTCTATTACATAACCCTCACTCCTGCTCGTTAAGTGACATCTCACCTCTGCTCTGTAACCAAATGTCACCCTGCTCTAAGTAACCCCTCTAAACTCCTTGGTTTCCCATGTTGGACTTTGGTAGAATTGCACTCTGCCCTGTCAATGCTGCTTTATCTGGGGAAAGCAGGGGTTTGTCTTTATCTCCTCAGGAAGAAGTTTCCATACTACAGTTATTATTTCCATACTAGAATTATACAATTATTGGGGATGATTGTAATTTTTTTTTAAACCAAGATAAGGGGATGGAGAGATAGTTCGGGGTTTAAGAATTCCCAGGGCTTTAGCAGGCGACCTGAGTTTGGTTTCTAGTATCTATATAGAATAGCTCACAACCAGCTACTGTAACTTCAGTTCCAGGGGGATCTGATGCCCTCTGCTGGCCTCCACAGTCAACTGCACACACGTGCACATGCCCACACTATGTTAAGTTTGGCTTTAGAGGTAGATAGGTAGATAGGTAGCTCATATTGAGCTCTGTACAGATCCCCAAAAGCCTCCGATAAAATGGTTCTGTGCTTACGAGATGAAAATGGGAAGTGCGTGGTGCTAATGATGTGTAAATGTGTTTTTAGCCAGTTTCTTAAGATTGACTTTGAGGCCCATTATTGTTAATATTTATGGTTGGGATCTGTCTCTCCAGAGGCCCTATAAACAGCTCTCCTGTTGTTCAGGTAAAATTTACAGCTAGCAGGATTAAAGAGAGGCACAGCATGGTACCAAACTTGCATTTCTCAGAGGAAACAGAAAATCCATCAAAGGCTTTGGATGAGTTTAGATCATTCATCTTTTTGTGCAGTCATCTTTGAAACATAGCTCATTACCTATGCTACTGTGAATTCAAGAGGGACTGGGTGTCCATGCCCTGGAACAGAGACATGGTACAAATTCCACAAGCAAGCATCCACTTCAGTTGCCATTGGCTTTCCTGCCTTTCCCTGTCACAGTCTTTGGCCCAACAGAAGGTTAGGGTTGACTCTGCAAATCTAGGAAGCCTTCTGCCATTATCTCCCCCATGGGATAGAGGGACCCACACAGAGCCCTGGCATTTCAGTGGTGCCATCTGCACTTGGCAGAGATTTCACAGCACTCTGTCTCAAATGGGGCCTGAAATTTTTGACTTGGCCCAGCAGAAGGCAGTGGCTTTACCGCTCAGCCATGCATTTGCTCTTGAGCTCTGGGTGGGCTGGGAAACTAAGAGGAGATGACAGATTTAGGACTCAAATGTTACTTCTGGTATATTTTAAAATAACACGCAATTCTGTACCTTCTGAAAGAAATTTTGGAGGGTGTGGAGGGGGTTTCACATGAGCCCCCCGCCCCCAATAAATGGCATGCATGCCAATTCCACAGGCACATCCAGATCACATCAAGCTCATACCTGATGTTTTAAGGACACATGGATGGAGCTCAGGTGAAATTCTTACCTGATGAACCAAGGGCTTGGGCATATATGAGCTCTCAAGAGCTCTCCAGCAGTTAAATTTTGCAAATCTTAAGTGGAGCAGGACCACCCTTCCCATTAATGCATTTGTTTGCTTTTTTGGAGTCTAACAAGATCTCATTAATGCTGAATTATCATAATTCCCAAAGCTGTCCAAGAAAGGATAAGTACTACATGATGACTTTACTGGGATGAAGAAAGAGGAAAAAAAAATCATTGCCTATGACAAAGGATCTCAACTGAGTAAACTATAGTTATAGAATGTATCAAAGTAGAATGTATGGGTCTGAGGAGTTGAATCAGTGAGCAAGAGCATTTGTATCACAAGCCTGAGGACCTGAATTTGAATCCCTGTCACCCATGTAAAGTGCTAGGCACAGCCCTATATACATCAATAACCCTCAGCACTGTGGTATGCAGATTGGGGGAAAGAGGATATTTGGGGTTTGCTGGACCTAGCTTCAGATTGAAACAGAGACCCTGTCTCGAGCGACTACTTCAGAGAGCAATAGAGTAGGGTACTAGCATCTTCCTCTGACCTCTGCACACACAAGTGCACACACATGAGGGGAAGGCGAGGGATAATGGCTACTCTGTCAGATCTGAGGATTCCTTTTCTGTGCATGCTCATTTCCAGGGCTAAGTACCTGATATGCCACAGGTTCTTCATTCATCTCCTCTCTGAAGGAAGAGCTAGTCTTCTGCTTGTGACTGTGAGAACCTGTGTGTGATGCGAGGGCCTTAGGGCAGACACTGGAGCTTGTTCCTGTAAGATGGTCGCCCCTCCCAGTCACCCCACCCTTGAGAAACAGCCAGTGTTTTCCTGGCTCTTGCTTCATCTGCACTGGCTCAGCTGATTCCCAGAAACAGACCAGTAAGTGGAGTTTTCTGATCATCCCATTTTACAGATGAAGCTCTGAGGCTCAGTTTGTTACTTAAACAAAGAGGATTTAAAAATACTCATCAGCAGGCTGTGCTGGGGTGCTGAGTTATGCTGGAGGGCTCTAGCATCATTGGATGAGCTCAGCTATTATGCTGGTGAGTCCTCTGTTGCTATGGCGTTGGGCATGGTCCATTTGGACCTGTGTCTTTTCTTAAAAGCACTTGGAGACTAAGCCAATTTAGCCTTTGGGATCTACCTGGCTCTCCTTTCTTTGTGTGCCTCCGTCAACTCGTGCTGGCTACATTTGCCTTCCAGGATGCAAAGGAGCTAACAAACTTACCATGCACCATCCTCCACACTTTGCCTGCTTTGAAAGGGTGGCGGGAACATGGAAAGATGTCTGTGAGCCTCTGAGGAGGCCAAATTGGGACACCTGTCACGAGGCTATCTATAGATCTGCCTTGTAATGTTTTATTTTTTATTTTTTGCATAAATCTCAAAAGAATTGTGTTGAGTCAAAAGTTGATTCTGAAAGTTTACCCACAGTATTGTTCCATTTACATGGCCTTTTTGATAGGATAAAATTCTACAAGTGGGGCTCAGATTCCTACTGTCATAGGTCAAGGGCTGAGACAGGGTACAAAAGATAAAGAATCAAGACAAGGCTGGAAATTTTTTCTTTATTGATTGAATTGTATCAGCTTCCAGGTTGGGTCACTGTCTTAGAGTTCTGGAAGATGTTGCCACAGGGAGAAACTGGAGGAAGAGGCATCCACCATCTCTGCTTGTTACCATCTCACATGACTTCTCAAAATTATCAGCTTACAAAAAAGGGAGGGTATAAAGTACACGCAGCAAAATTTCACCATTTACTCAGCATGGGACTGAGGCTGCATGGGAACCTGTTGCATTTATTACATTTCATGAACGCTTTAAATATTTAGCAAAGACAAAATTTTCCGAAATTATCCTCAGCCTTGTGTGTACACAACTTTGCCCAACATCCACTCTTGGTCCCCTTAGTTGGGTATCACAGACACAGCAGCCTGAGGGGTTTTGTGAGGGACAAAGGTATTGAGCTGCAATGATGACCTCCGTTGAGAAACACTCTCTGCTTCCCCTGTTCTTTTCAACCTGGGAGCATCCGACGCTATGGGCATTGGGGATTTCTCACTCCTCTGAAGCTTCTTTAGTGCTCCACTCTGCTTTCTGTGTGTGGTTGAAAAAAAAAAAAAGCAAGCTCTCAGCTCCCTGTTCTGGCTCTGTCAGTTGCCAATTGCCGTGCCTCCATTACCATTACAGACTCACCTTATTTGTTTGTTTGTTTGTTTGTTTGTTTATCTGTGTGCTATTTAAAAACAGGGACATACATGGCAAAATTTATTTATTAAAAAGCAAAAGTACAAGACAACAGCACAGTCAAAAGGGACTAATGGAGACATATAGATCAGTTTCATTGTCAACACAGGAAAACACATCTCTGACCTCAATTAGGGTACAATTTTATGGGTTAGAGGAGTGAAGGGCTTCCGGGCATCATCATGAGGACAGAGTTGGCCACCGCAGGTTTACTCACATGGGTTCTGAATGACAATCAGAAGGTATTCCTTATCTAGGGAGAAACATGAATGAAGTTAACTCATTCATATCTAGTTTATGAACACTCCCACCAGCCTGCTTTTCTCTTTCAAACACGCAATGGACATTGTGTAGACAATGGCTGCACATCAGAATTACCACAGCACATGGGAAAAGCTGAAAGCGCACAGACTTTATGATTGCATTTGTCTGTTGTCCCAGGCGCTGACTAACCTTAATAAATATTCCACACGTGGTATTTCTACACAGCAGCAGAGAAAGCTTTCTCTCTTTATCTGATGTGATAATTTGGTATATGCCAGGATTGTGACTGTAACACAGTTATTCAGAAACACTGTGAACACAATTCCTTCACGGAAGTGACCCTGAGTAGAACACTCACAGTATTGTTCCACTCACCTCACAGGGAGGTAACATGAGAGTAGTCTTGGCTCCTACTTTATTCCCAGGAAGGGTCATTTCCGACACTATTCAGAAAGTCTGTGTGCTATGTTTTCTGCATCTAGTTTGATAACTAGTAAGTGTGAGTGGGCAATATTCAGCTTGTTCAAAAGCCAAAATATTTGCTACTTTCATATAACTTTTGAGTTTGGCTCTTCAGAAGCAAACATCTTTGTTTTTGTAATCAAAGAGCTTTATGTCTCACATTACATATTAAATTCTATATTCCCACCACGGCCCTATAATCCACCAGTCTTAAAAACAAGTCTTTAACCAGTAAAGTAGAAAAGCATTTTAAGTATGAAGTGGCATGTCCAGTTACCTGGGGCTACCATGATTTCATGTTTCTTCGATCTGATCCTAAGAAAAGTCAGGTCATTCTGGGGGTCAATGTCTCTGACAGTGCTCTTGGCCTTCATGGTCAGCTGGTGGAGAAGACCTGCATATTGAACTGTTGTGGAGTTGTCCAGGGTTGTTCGGATTGGAATGCCTGTGATGAGATTTAATTTGGGGTTATTTTTCCCATAATTGTAAGAGTGATATGTGCATTGTAAAAACCACTGGGAGTTACTCATCTTCACAAATGGCAGGAAAATGGGTGGTGGCTTTTAATAGCTGGCATCAATTTTAGGTTATCATTATTAGTATTAGTAATATCATCATCAATATTAGTTTTATCATCTTTTTGGCTCCGTATAGAGTTTTAAATATAGTTGAGTCAAATGGTGTTTACAAATTTGTCTGTGGCTTTCTCATCATTTAAGTCAAAACACACAAGCTTCCCTTGGTAATGATGCCTTTGCCATTACTGTTCATCTCTGCCTGCTTCTTTTCTATGGCTGTGTCATTATAAGATCAATATAATGTTTGGACATTTGTTATTTTTCATTTTAATAGTGAATGTGTGGTGAATATTTTATGCATAAATCATCTGGAAGATGTTAATTATTTAATCTTAATCACATATATAAGTATATATGTATATATACATATATATATATATATGTATAAAAACTACATTCTCAAAGCATCCCTTGTAGTCTATAATATGGGATTTTTCTGCTTTCCTGAAACAAAAGTCACAAAGGGACAGCCCTATCTGAGCCAGGGGCTACTATATTCAGCAGGGACATTCCAGTTTTTTAAACAATTCCCACAAGTGTTTTGCAAACCTTAAGTTTTATGTCAGAAAACCATGCTAACAAAAACAAAGATGCCTTTTCTGGGTGGGTGTCGCTGGTTTGGGCTTCTTTTCTATTTAATATTTAATATTTAATATTTAAACATTATTAAATCTGGTCTCTGTTGCTGAATTACATGAGATTGAAACAGATTAAATCTATTTGATTTAATTAAAAAATTCTAGCCAGACAAATATGCAAGTCTGAGTCAATTCAGTTCACAGCCAACGAGGCCCTGTTGGGTCACCCAGGACCTAGTGTCTATTATGCGGCAAGTTAGGTGCTTCATACATACTGTATCTGATCAAAGATAACCTTTATGCTGGGAACCACCGGACAGGAAAGAACTCTAGGGATTTCATTTCGAAGTGTGCCTTGACTTTAGGGGGAGCAGATAACATGAGTCTGTCAAATTCCTTAAGCATTGAATTGAGGCTAGTCAACAACAGTCTTAAGTGGCGCTTAGGTTTTCCTTCAGAAAACACAGCTGCAGAACCTAATAGCAGAGATGAGCATTTCTCAGTGTTAAAAGATTACTATCACAGAATTTTATCGAGTCTTCATGAAATGCTAGGAGACTGTCAGTTTTGACTTTGAAACAGACTAAATTTCCTTTCGCAATGACCACCTTCTCCATAACAGTGACAAAGGCTTCTGGTACCCACATGGTGATCTATTCTATACATGAGGTTTCATACAAAACCATTAATTTCTGTAATATTAATTCTTGGCCACTTTCCGAAGAGGGCAGTCTGTTGTGTCTCATAGCCAAGAAGTCACAGAGTGGGAGGCTGTGGTGTAGCAGGCACCCGATTCCAGATACTTTTGGATGGACAGTTTGGTTTTATATTTTAGCACTGACAACCACTGAAATCTCAATGGCCCAGATGAAAAACAGAGTTAATTATTCAAAGTGTGGATGATTCAAGTATGAATTAGAGGCTTTGGCTGTTGTCTGTTCATAATACAGATTGATAAATAAAAGAGCCCCTCTTTTGAATAACACATGCTCAACTATGGGAATAGGATGTTCTCACTCTTGAAATCAGACAACCAAGAGGTAAGGGTGGGAATTTCTGTCAGTGGCAGGGTGCTTGCAAAGCCCTGGGTTCCATCCCTAGCTCCCTAGACTGACCAAACGACCGACCAACGAACCAACCAGCCAGCCAGCCAGCCAGCCAGCCAACTAACCAACCAGCAAACCAACCAACGGGACCAATGAAACAAAACAACCAATCAAGAAGTATTTAGTGAGCTCTTGCTTTGTACCCTCTAATAAAATCAATTTATTAGAGGGTAATTTTTAGGCTGGGTGTTGTGCTGAATGCTTGTAAAGGCTCAGACAGAAAGATGGTTTTGAGTGTGTGTGCAAGTGTGTGTGCATACGTGTGTGTGTGTGTGTGTGTGTGTGTGTGTGTGTTTTCACACACACAGTCCTCATGTATACACCTCTCCAGTACTGGAATTATAAGTGAGCACCACCACACCCATGGGACTCAAAAACTCAGGTTCTTCAGCTTTCAGAGCGAGCACTTTATTGGCTGAGCCATCTCAGCAGCCACCCTTCCTTCCTTCCTTCCTTCCTTCCTTCCTTCCTTCCTTCCTTCCTTCCTTCCTTCCTTCCTTCCTTCCTTCCCAGGACCTATAATAAGTCCTAGTTTCTTACATATTCACTCAGGAATACTTTCAAAGGTTTAAAAATCATTTCGAATTTTCATGTGTCATTAGAATCTATGCTTAACCCTCTCCCTCCCTCCCTCATCTGCCTTCTTTTTTTCCTTCTTTCCTTTTTCTTTTTTTCTTCTCTTTCTTTCTTTCTTTCTTTCTTTCTTTCTTTCTTTCTTTCTTTCTTTC